CCCCCACTGTCCCTTCATAACCACCCTTCCATCCCCCCACTGTCCCTTCATAACCACCCTTCCACCCACCACCCACCCCCCTTGAACCAACTCATCTGTTCTCCATTCCTTTAGCTCTGGCTTTTCCAGAACGCTTATAAAAGGGACTAAAACTGTGTCTGACCTTTTCACTGGCCTCTTTCCCTGAGTGTAATACCTCTGACATTCGTTCATCTTGTGTGCATTGATGATTCCCTCCTTATTATTGGTGAGGAATATTCCATTGTGTGGATGGACTGCAGTTTGTTTATCTTTGAAGGACATCTAGGTGGTTTCCAGGTTTTGGCAACTGTGAGTATTCATGTGTGAATCTTTGTATGGACATATGCTTTCATTTCTCTTGGATAAATTCCAAGGAGTGGGATTGCTGGGTCATCTGGTAGCTCTGTGTTTAACTTTATCAGAAACAGCCGAACTTTGCCAAAGTGACTCTCCCGTTTGGCATTCTGACCAGCAGTGTATGAGAGTCCCAGTTGCTTTGCCTCGTCAGCGTTTCATACTAATTCTTTGTGGGTTTTTTTCTGTTTGTTTTAAGCCATTTTAATAGATCTGTAGCAGGATCACATTGTGGTTTTAATTCGCATTTCCCTCATGGCTAAGTGTTGTGGCTGCTAACCAAAAGGCTGGCGGTTCGAATCCACCAGGAGCTCCTCAGAAACCCTATGGGGCAGTTCTGCTCTGTCCTATAGGGTCACTATGAGTCGGAATCGACTGGATGGCAACAGGTTTGAGGTTTTTTTTTTTTGGAATGGCTAATAATGTTGATTGTCTTTTCATATACTTATTTGCCATCCATGTATCTTTTTTGGTGAAGTATCTGTTCAAGTCTTTCACCCATTTTTTATTGGATTGTTTGTTTTCCTGTTGTTGAGTTTCAAAGAGTTTTCTCTATGTTCTGGATGAGATCCTTTGTTGAATATGTGATTTGCAAATATTTTCTCCCACTCTGTAGCTTGTTTTTTATTTTCTTATCTGTGTTTTTTGCAGAGCAAAGTTTTAAATTTTGATGAAGTCTGATTTATCAATTTTGAAAAATGGATTTTGCTTTTGGTATCATGTCTAAGAACTCTTTGCCTAGCCCCTGGTCGTGAAGATTTTTTGCCATGTTTTCTTCTAAAAATTCTATTGTTTTACATTTAGCTCTCTGATCCATTTAGAGTTAACACGTATATAAGGTGTGAGATGTAGGTTGAGGTTCTTTTTTTTGCATGTCGAAGTCCAAGTGTTCTAATACCATTTATTGACAAGAGTTATCTTTTCTACATTGAATCGCCTTTGCACCCTTGGCAAAAACCAGTTGACCATATTTGTCTGGGTCTATTTCTGAATTCCTTATTCAATTCTGTTGACCTATATATTTCTCCTATCATCAATACCACAGATTACGGTGGCTTTCTAGTTAGTCTTAAAATTGGATAGTGAGATTCCCCCAACTTTGTTCTCCTTTTTCAAAATGATTTTAGCTATTTTAGGTCTTTATTTTGCCATATAAATTTTAAAAATTAGTTTGTTTAGATCTTGCTGGGATTTTCCTTGAAATTGTGTTCGGTTGGTTTGGGGAGAACTGCTGTCCCATTCACGGGCATGCTGTCTCTCCATTATTAGTCTTTGATTTCTTTCACCCATGTTTTGTAGTTTTCAGCCTGCAGATCCTGCGTTTGTTTTGTCAGATTTGGGTATTTCGGGTTTTAGAGCTGTTAAAAGTGGAATGTTCAAAACAGTTTTGGCTTGCAGGTGTTCATTGCTAGTGTATACAAATGTGATTGCTTTGTGTGTACACAGAGACAGAGAGAAAACACACACAATAAAAACTAAACCCTTTCAACAGTTATGATTGATTTTGTATGTTGACCTTGTTTCAAATGATCTTGCTAAACTCAGTTATTAGTTCTAGGAACTTGTTTTTGTGTCTTTCTAGATTCCTTGGGTTTTCTACATAAATAATCATGTCGTATGCAGGTAAGAATAGTTTTATTTTTTCCATTCCAATCCTTATGCCTATTATCTCCTCCTCTTGCCTCATTGTGCTGGGTAGGACCTCCGGAACTGTGTTGAGTGAAAGGGGACAGCGGCGTCTTTGCCTGCTTCCCAGCCTTTGGGGAGGACACTCAGTGTGACATCAGCTGCAGGCTGTTTAGATGCTCTTTGTCTGACTGAAGGTCTTCCCTTCTACTCCTAGTTTGCTGGGAGTTTCTGTCATTAATGGATGTTGGATTTGGTCAAAAGTTTTTCTGAATCTGTTGGGATTGTGTGGTTTTTCGTTCTTAGCCTGTGGATGTGGTAAATTACACCGGCTGGTTTTCAAACACTGGACCAGCTTTGCATGTCTGGAACAAACCCTACCTGGCCGTGGGGTCCCACTCACTGTCCTTTTCAAATATTGCTGGATTCAGCTTACCTACATTTTGCTGAAGGTTTTTGCACTTAGGTTCATGAGGGATATTAGTCTGTAGTTTTCTTTTTAGTACTGCTTTTGCCCAGTGTTTATCAGTCTAATGCTGACCGTAGAAAACGAGTTGGGAAGTATTCCTCTTCTGTTTTCTGGATGAAATTATATAGAGTTAGTGTTATTTCTTCTTTTAATATTTGGTAGAATTCGCCTAGAGTTTTCTTTTTTAGGAGGCTTTTAAGTCTGAATTCTGTTTCGTTAATAAATATAGGACTGTTTGGGCTATATATTTCCTCTTGATGGGTTTTGGTAGTTTGTGGCTTTCAGGGAATTGGTCCGTTTAATCTAAGTTGTCCTTTGACACGCATAGAGTTGTTTGTGGTATTCCCTAGTGCTACTTGTTAATTAATGTCTGTGAGCTCTGCAGTGATATCCCTTCTTATATTCTTGATATTGGTAATTTTTGTCTTCTGTCTCTTTTTGTCAGTCTGACTAGAAGTTTATCAATTTTATTGATGTTTCCAGAGAACCAGCTTGTGGTTTTGTTTATTTTCTCCATTGTTTTTCTGTTTTCAAGTTCACTGGTTTTGCTTTTATTACTTCTTCCTCCTTGTTTATTTGAAACCTTTCTCCTTTTCTGATTTTAAGCATGTAATGCTATAAATTTCCCTCTCAGCCCAGCTTTAGCTGTGTCCCATAAATGTTGATATGTTGTAACGGTGATGATTGAACAACCCGGTGAACGTATTTAATGTTACTGAACTGTACACGTGAAGATTACTAAAATGACGTGTTTTTTTACCTATGTTCACAATAAAGAAAAATTGAAAACAATTTTTGATATGTTGTATTTTCATTTTCATTCCGTTCAAACTGTTTTCTGTTGTGAGTTCCTCTGTGATCCATGGCTGTTTAGAAGCATGTTATTCATCTCCCCAGTTGTTGGGGCTTCCAGTTGCCTTTCTGTAGTTGGTCTTGGATCGAGCTGCATTTCGGTCGGAGAACATGCTTTGCATGACGCAGTCACTTCAAGTCTGTTCCGATTTGTTTTGTGACCTAGGACATGGGTTTTCCTGGTGAATAGTAAGTCCCCTTTAAGCTTTCGTCTCCTCGTTTTTCCCCTTGCGCTTCACTTGCTCAGCGAGGCAGAGGCCTCAGAATCACAGTGGCCCGGTGGGTGGAGCCGACTGTCCCGGGAGTCGTCGGGTGGCTGTGCTAGGAGGAGATGGCCCGCAGGGCTGCCTCAAGAGGGACAGAGCTGTGGCGGGGCCGTTGTGGGGGCTGGGCCGTGGGGGGGACAGGCAGGGCTGTTGGGGGTACGGACAAGGCTGTAAGGGGGGGCAGGGCTGTGGGGGGGACAGGCAGGGCTGTTGGGGGAATGGACAAGGCTGTAAGGGGGGGCAGAGCTGTGGGGGGAATGGACAAGGCTGTAAGGGGGGACAGAGCTGTGGGGGGAATGGACAAGGCTGTAAGGGGGGTTAGAGCTGTGGGGGTAACAGACAGTGCTGTGGAGGTGGGGGGAGCCTGTGCTTCCCTGTTGGGAGCGTCGTGTGTCAGCACCGATCCCCACTTCTGGCCACCCCAGACTGTTCTTAGGCTCGTGGCCCTCAGAATCCCATGTGTACCACCTCCTCCTCCTGCCTATCCACAGCCTGTGCTAAGCCACTTCCACGGAGGGGCAGCCTGACCTCTGGGACCCTCAGGGAGGGGATACCTGCCCAACAGCCAGGTCAGGGGACGCCGTGGCTGGCTCCCAGCCTGGCCAGGGCTGGGGTGGAACTCCTTTAAGATGTAACGGCCAGGCCCACCCCAAGAAGTGACCACAGAGGGCCGGGCAGGGAGGGCTCTCAGCTTTGTCGGCTGTGAGCGCTCCAGCCAGGTCAGTGGGCACGTTGGTACCACAGCCAGGGGTCCTCGGGGTTACCAAGGACGGGGAGGTGAGGCCTGGTCACTAGAGAGCGCATGTCTTCCCTTCCAGGTTGTGCAGCCTGACCCTGAAGAAGCTGGTGGTGTTCAAGGAGCTGGAGAAGGAGCTCATCTCTGTGGTGATCGCTGTCAAGATGCAGGTAATGGGCCTCACGTGTCCCCAGGCACGGCCACGGCCAGAGTGGGCTGGTGGGCGTCAGTCCTGCAGCAAAAGGAGGCGAAGCGCTCACCCCCGCCGATGGCTGCCCTCGCCCTCACCCCTGCCGACGGCGACTCTGGTGGCGCTGCAGCCCACAACAAGGGGCTCAGCAGGGAGGGCCGAGTGGGGCCCCTGTGCGTGGTGGGCTGTAGTGCTGGGGCCAGAACCACCCCGAGGCTCCTACATGGGGGGGCTGTGGTCCCCAGGAGGCATTCCCAATCCTACATCACCTCTGCCACGGTGGGAGGGCTGTGGTCCGCAGGAGGCGTTTCTAATCCCGTATCACCCCTGCCATGGTGGAGGGCTGTGGTCCCAGTGACTGCTGCCTCTCCGTGCATAGTGGCTGCTGCGTCTCCGTGGATGGGTCCCTGCTGCCCAGTCCTCCTGGCGGGTGTGTGCATTGATTCTGACTATTGCTCATTCAGACCTGCTTCCTAGTGGCCCCAGCAGACCCCACCTCAAGTATGTGCCCCCTGCCAGCACAGCTGCTCAGCTGGTGATCAAGGAGGTGGTGTCTCATCACACCTTTAACTGCACCCCCCACCCCAGTGTCTCAGAGGCGCATGTTCTGTCTCAGTTCGCAGCTTCAGCTGGTGCTGGTTTGGGGCTCCCTGTTGATGCCCCCAGCGGTGAACCCCCCAGAGCAGGATCCCCCACACCTTTAACCCCGGGGACTGACTGAGCCCACCCTGGCCCACGGAGTCTAGTCCTGGCTGCAGGACGCCACACCCTTGCACCCCATCCCAGTGCTGGTTGGTCCGTGCTCCCAGGCATACACACTCGGCCTGCTGGCACTAGGCCCTCTCACCGGGGACTACGCTGGAGTATGCGGGGGCCAAAGTCCACCCTTTTCCCTAGGGAAAGACAATTGCCACCAACCAAAACTGCTACATTTTAAATAAAGATCTTGAGAAATCTTTCTCACGCAGAGGGGCCATATGAGTGAGGGTGACTGCACCTGGGAGCCCCCAGGATGCAGATGGGCCGACTCGGCCTGCCCTGGGGGCCTGGGGATTCAGGGCTCCCGGAGGCCATGCCGCCAGTGTGGGGACCCTCAGAGGGCCTCGGCTGGGACTGACAGTCACGAAAGTGCAAGCTGGCCCATCCCTTTGGCCCAGCACCATGGGGCCGTCGACGCCGGTGGCGCCAGCTCTCCCTCCGAGAGGATGCGTGTACTGCCCACAGTCCAGCCTCACAACCCTCCACCACCTTCCCCTGCCACCCGGGACTCACTGCCCCCGCCCCAGTCACCCTCCTCACTGCTGCAGCCCTGATCGCCGCCCTCCTGTTCCACCACCCAGCTCCACCTCCTCAGCATCTGCACCCCTGGCCATTTCACCCTCCTCCTCCTCACCACCTGCAACCTCCCCTGATCTGACAGCCTCCCTCTTTACTTCCCAGAGGAGGCTGCTGCCGTGGTGGCACTGACATACCTGTGCCCACCCCTTCACCTGGCCTTTCACTTGCCGCTTCGTGTTCTCACCCCCCACCCCGTCACAGGCTCAGCTGGTCCAGGTCCCCTGAGAGGCAGGTGTGGACAGGTTTTGGGGCACACACTTGTGAGGGAGTGGGCTGGGCAACGACCGCAGGGCTGACCCCTGGGAAGGGGGGCACCAGGGGAGGGGCTCCATCCACAGGGCAGCTGGCAGGGCCTTGCGCCCATGGCACCTCAGGGGCACACCGGCCGTGTCTTGGTCATCTAGTGCTGCCATAACAGAAACACCACAAGTGGACGGTTTTAACGAAGAGAAGTTTATTTCCTCCCAGTAAAGTAGGCTAAAAGTCCAAATTCAGGGCATCAGCTCCAGGGGAAGGCTTTCTCTCTCTGTCGGCCTTCTTCTCTTCAGTGTTCCCCTGGACTAGGAGCTTCTCTGCGCAGGGACCCCGGTCCAAAGGACGCGCTCTGCTCCCGGCACTGCTTTCTTGATGGTATGAGGTCCCCCTGTCTCACTGCTCACTTCTGTCTTTTTATATCTCAAGAGATTGCCTCAGGACACAATCCAGTCTTGTAGATCCAGTCCTGCCTTACTAACACAACTGCCACCCATCCTCCCTCATTAACATCATAGAGGCAGGATTTACAACATACAGGAAAATCACACAGTACCAGGAATCATGGCCCAGCCAAACTGATATACACATTTTTGGGGGGACATAATTCAAACCATGACAGGCCGGAAGGGCCTGCGTGACACCCAGCGTGCTCAGTTCTTCACTGGAGTGGCCGGCAGTGTCAGCTCTGCCCCCAGCTGGGCCTGGGCCAGGTAGAGCATTGTCTGAGCCGCATGGATGGGCCCTCCCCACCCCTGCCCTCATGGGCTGCTCCCCTGCCCTCCCTGCTGTCACCCTGCTGCACTGCCCCTCCTCGTCACCACTCACTCCCCCACATCCAGGCCTTCTTCCCACAGCCGGCTGCCTGCCCATCCGGCCCTCATGCCTTACGCATCACGGCTGCTGTGGAGGCCAGGCCTGGACCCCTAACTCAAGGGTCTGCAGGTCTCCCCAGCAGATGGGGCTGGAGGGGGCCACGTGGGTGCATGGGGACATCAGGCTCTCCCTTCTCCATCCCCTCTGTCGACTGCGCCGGTGTTCTCAGAACAAACACGGGGACGCCACGAGACGGCAGGTGCACCCTAGCACTTCAGCACCCCAGGGCTGCTGCATCTCACGTTGTCAGCCTGTTTAGTCCTAACCCCATCCGAGAGATAGACACAGCCACCCCACATCTCGAGTGGGGACAGGTGAAGGCTGTGGCCCAGGCAGTGGAGGGACTGTGAGGGGGAGAGTGGATAGACACGGTGGCACACACTGTGCCTGCACCCCGGGCCTCCCACCCCAGCTCTCAGCCTGCTCCCGCGCCCAGAGAACGTTCTGTTAGGGCCTGCACTGAGCCGCTTGCTGCAAATGGGTTTCTAGGTTGTTTCTAACTTTTTGCCAACATGAATCATGCTGAGACAAACATTAAGAACGAAAGAAAATTTCAGAGTGATACAGATTCATTGTGGAAATATGGCCAAGCAAAAGAATGAACTGAAATGCACATAGAACCCCCTCAGGTAGCCATTTTCTAACCCAGCCTTCCAGGCTGTTGTACTTTTTTAATAGGGAGAGGAGGATCCTGGAAGTGAGATTTTGTAATAGAAAGTTGACAGGATGCTGTGAACATCTTTCCATCACTGGATTAATAATAGCAAATACTTAGTGCCTCAATGTGACAGGGACTGTTGCACTTTATATGTCTGAGCTCTGGGGACTCGTGGGAGGCGTGTGTGGTTCTCAGGACAGGCCAGGGTCTGAGGGATTCGCCGGAACCATGGTGCCCAACTGTCCCCCAAGGAGCCTGCCGTAATCCGTCCTTAGCGACTGTAGCTTTCCATTTTCCAGTGTATGGCTGTAGCAAAGGAAACAATGTCCTGGAACAGTTACTTTTTAAACAATTTTGTGATGAACATCTTCAGTCCATTTAGAATTTATTTTGATGCGAAGTTTGAGGTTGGAATCCTGTGGTATTTTATACAAATGATTCATTATCCACTTACCACCAGCGTTTGCTGACTAACTTTCTCCCCTAAGTCTTTTCTTCTGTGCTTTTTTAACACGTCCACGTACCTTCCTCTTGGATGTCTCTGCCCTTCTAATGGAGCCCTGTGGCGGTGCCTCCGTGTTTTAATTGTTGTGGCCTTGTACTGCTTCTTACCTCGGGAAGACCAGCGTCCCTGATTTTGTTCTACTTTTTGAGACATGTTGGGCGTCTTACACAGTCATTCTTCCAGATGAACTTTAGCATTGCACCGTCTGTTACCCCAAATCCTACTGGTGGAGTTTTGTAATGGTATCGAATTTGGCAGTGGCCGTTCTTGATCTTCTCTCTCACTTCTTAGGACAGATTTGTAGAAGTGGAATTGATGGGTCAGAGGGTATGGAGATTTTTTATAACTATCCCTACAGCGTCTCTGGGAATTACACTGCCTCATGCCTGCCATCCCTCAGTCTGTGGGTCTTCATGCCGACATTGCCAAAGAGAACCCATCTGAAGGTGTTCAAGACGACCTCCCTTTAATCAGATGTCTGTCTTTGTCACAGGGCTCCAAACGGGTCCTGCGCTCCCACGAGATTGTGCTGCCCCCCAGTGGACAAGTGGAGACTGACTTGGCGCTAACGTTCTCGCTGCAGGTGGGGGGCCTCCTCGGGGGTGGGCAAGACTCATAAATGTCAGCAGTTTCCCTTAGACTGCAGAGCTTTCTTCTGGATCAGGATTTATTCTTAAAAGATTAGAACATTTACTTTGGTTTGTCAGGTTGAATTTTTCATTCCATTCCCATGAAAAGTGTAGTGAGGCCAGAACATCGAATTATCAAGTTGAGGTCATTTTAGTCTTAGTAATTTAGGAAAGACGGGGAAGAATATATGGAAATCAGTATTTTAAGCTTGAACCCCTCAGAGTGTTTCTGAGGGTGCCTGACGGTCAACGTAGTTAGGGGCTCCGGGCACCTCCCTGGGTCGGAAGTGGCACTCACCCCCAGACTCTCTGGAGCCCAGATCTCCAGGAAAGCCCCACCAGCCCCCACATAGGCCCCAGTGGCAGCACCTCCCCTGTGTCTGCTTTTCTGCAAACATGTGGCAGGACAGCATTACTGAGGCTTTGCAGAGGTTTCGTCTTCTTGGTCAGCACACTTGCTTTGCCCGTTGCTGTCAAGTTGATTCCCACTCACAGCAACCCTACAGGACAGAGCAGACCTACCCCAGAGGGTTTACAGGGAGCGGCTGTGGATTCAAACTGCCAAGCTTTTTGGTTAGCAGCTGAGCCCTTAACCCCCATGCCAGCAAGCCTCCTTTAAAGACCACGATGTGTTTAGTGTCAGTTCACTTCAAATCTGTCAGAAACCGCTTCTCATTTAAAGTGTGTGAGACAGGGCTGTGGCTTAGGGAGATCCATGGGAACGCTGCCTGCTGTCTCTCGGCCCTTCCCAGAGCCACACCTTGCTGACCCCCAGGCTCTGCCAGCCACAGGGGGCATCCTGACCGCCTTCCACGCCAGGTTATGGGCACCTGCTTGCTCACGCTCACCTGAGGGGCTGGCACCAACCGGTCTCCTTCTGGTCTTTGTAGTTGATTTTCTTTCTTTTCTTTTTTTTTGGCGGGGAGGGGCTCAGGTTTATTGAGCTGAACTCACAGAATGTACGATTCCTCTTTTTCGGTGTCTGGTTCTATGAGTTTTGACAAACGTATACAGTCATGTAACCACCACCCACAGTCAACATCTAAAACATTCCAGCACCCCGGTATTTGTAATGGATTCATATTTATGTCCTCTTTAAGAAAGAGGCTGTGAGCACCTGCCGTATGCATGGGCTCTATAGGTCTGTGGGGCCTGCGTTTGCGGTGTGCTTGGCGGTGGGCTTCACGGCACTGGGCTGCACGGCGGGGGTGGGGGCTGGGCCGCCCCCCTGCATGGGTGGCAGCGTCTCCCCTGGATAGCAAAAGCCTTCTTAGGTTGCAGGAGAACCCTTCATAGGGTCATGACCTCACTGACACCCCAGACAGATGAGCTGTGTTTGGACTCCCCGTGATGCGCAGGCCACAGTTGACCATGAGGGCCAGCACGGTGACCTGCTGGTCCCTGGGGCATCACTGCCCCACTGCCACCAGCCCTGCGGGCCCCTGCCTGGCTGATGGGGCCGTGACGCACTTGTACCCACAGTACCCTCACTTCCTGAAAAGAGAAGGCAACAAACTTCAGATCATGCTGCAGCGGAGAAAACGGTACAAGAACCGGACCATCCTGGGCTACAAGACGCTGGCCGCGGGCTCCGTCAACATGGCTGAGGTGGGTTCTCGGTGCGGACGTAGCCTGGCCCCACTGCGCCCCTGGCCAGCCGGCCGGCACCTCTGCACACATCAGAAGAGCCTGAGACCTGGCTGCACAGCTGTCCCTGCCAGCACGTCTTCTGCCTGCACCCATGGCCTTTGGTGTACCCCGTCCCTGCAGTCACCCACAAGCCTGTCCCGCCCCCACGCAGAGGGTGGAGTGGCCTGGGGGTCCTGTCCTGAGCCCTTCCCAGGACTCCGTCCGCCAGCCGGTTTCTCAGTAACCCATGCATCCCTGTCCCCAGGGCCAGAGGGAGGGACCACGGGGGTGCAGCCAGGTGCTGGCTGGCTGAGGTCCCCAGGGTGGTGCCGCACTAGCCCGGTGGCACACGTCCAGCTTGGTCTGGCACTCAGGTGAGGAAGGGAAGGGAGGGGCACGTCGGACTGAAACCAGCCAATGGCAAAGCACCTGTGGGGACCGTCGTGGGGGCACAGGGTCCATCCAGGAGGTGCAGGGCTGGTGCGGCTGGAGCTGGCGGGCTAGGCTGGGGCTCGGGGACAGGGACACCTTGCGTAGGCCGCAATAGCCTGGACACCAGGCTGAGAAGCTTGGACCGTCTCATGGGGTGTTGGAGATGCCAGATCGGCTCTGGGAGAAGGGCCAGCTAAGGACACCTAACTCGTCTGCCGTCATCCTTGGGCATGGACGAGGATGCACCTGGGGTGTCTGAGGCCAGGGCTGCCGGGCGTCGGTGGTGCTCAGGGATGTGAGGTCATGCTGGCTGTGCATCCTCACACCCCTGCCCCGCCCCCACTCAGGTGATGCAGCACCCGTCTGAGGGCGGCCAGGTGCTGAGCCTGTGCAGCAGCATCAAGGAGGCCACCGTCAAGGTTGCTGAGATCTGGATCTTCTCCCTGTCCAGCCAGCCTATCGACCATGAGGACAGTGCCATGCAGGCCGGCCCCAAGGCCAAGTCCACAGGTGAGTGCAGCCGGCACCCGTGGGTCTGAGTGCATCCTTGAGTCTGAGTCGGTGCCTGTGGGTCCGAGCTGGCACCCATGGGTCTAAGCCAGTGCACTGTGCAATCCGAGCTGGCACCCGTGGATCTGGGCCAGCACCCGTGGGTCTGAGCCAGTGCCCCGTGGGCCCGTGCAGGTGCCCGTGGGTCTGAGCCAGTGCCTCATGAGTCCATGTGGGTGCCTGTGGATCCGAGCCGGCACCCGTGGGTCTATGCTGATGCCTGTGAGGTCTGAGAGGCACCCCGTTCCCCTCCTGCCTCTGCAGCAGGTGCCACCCCCCAGCTGTGTCGGGCGGCATACGGCATCCAGCGTGGGGTGAGAGGTCAGGTGGGGATACAGAAGTGGTCAAGAAAACTCACAGCAAGTGGCCGGCATGCCCTTCTGGAAGCCTCGGCCATGGTGCCTGAGCCACAGCACGCAGTCCTGAGCATGTTCAGCAGGAAGGGGCTGCTCGGAGGGTTGGTGCCACCAGGTGGTGGGGATGCCACATGTGTCGAGTGCAGGTTGCAGGTGCAGTGAGCGACAGTGGCAAGGGCCATGAGGGTCTGGGAGGGGGCTGTGCAGGGCACGGCTGCTGTGGGGGGGCGTTGCTGGTAGGGGGTGGCGTGGCTGGGGGCTGGGGCGCAGAGCAGCCTCCCTGTCGTCAGAGTGCAGCCCCCCGTCCACAAGCTCCAGAACGGAATCTCAAGGCGCCTCCCTTCCGTGTGTTGATTCCACAGACAACTACTCTGAGGAAGAGTACGAGAGCTTCTCCTCCGAGCAGGAGGCCAGCGACGACGCCGTCCAGGGGCAGGTGACCACAGCTGGGGGGCGCGTGACGCGGAGATCGGGGCGGGGGGTGAGACGCGGAGGTCCGGGAGGGCGAGACATGGCAGGCTGGGGCGGGGAGGAGATGTGGCGGGCCGGGGGGACGCAACGCAGAGGTCTGGGAAGGTGAGACACGGAAGGCTGCAGGACGTGACGTGGGCCAGAGGGGACGAGACTCAGAAGGCCGAGGGGACGAGACAGGTGCCCCACACTTTGGGCCTTACAGCGCAGGTGACTCGGGGCCCGTGGGGTCAGAACCCTGCACCCACAAGTAAGTCACCTGTCTTCAGGCCCCGAGCCAGTTCCCTGGGCCCTGTGAACGGCTGCCTCACTCAGGGGTGTGGGGCACCTCTCCTGCCCACGACTTGTATGCGTCTACAGGCAGGACTGATGGGCGGGGGACACAGTGGCCCCTGGTCAGGCGCTGCTCAGTGGGGCACTGTGCATCCGAGTGGGTCCCCCCTGGCTCCCACACACCCCCATCCTGGGGCACAGGCGCCATGGCCTCACGCCTGCGTGTGTCCCCACAGGATCTGGACGAGGACGACTTTGATGTGGGGAAGCCTAAGAAGCAACGGCGATCGATAGTAAGAACGACGTCCATGACCAGGGTCGGTGGAGACTGGTTTTACTAACCCTGTGGATGGGCGGAGGGCATGCGGGCTTGGGGGGACTCCAGGACATGGGTGCATGGGTGCCCCGTCCACCTGATATAGCCCTGTACGGGCGTGGGGCATATAGCCTCTGTCAGTCACAACTTTACCTGGCAGGCACGAGCACAGAGCATAGCAGTCCCCATGCCAGTTTTGGGCTGTCAGTCCCACGCGGTGCTGCCCTGTCCTACTCCTCTCACTCCTGGCTCCAGCCATGGTGCCAACAAGGCTGTGCGAGGAGTAGACAGGGATGGGGCTGCCAGGAAGGCTGCTCTCCTTGGCTCGGCATCCAGACCAGCCCTACATACAGCCAGGCCCCAGGCTTCGTGAGGGACAAGTGAAGCTCTTCCTCCAGGGCAAGGTTCCCAGGGCGGGGCCTCAACCCTAGTAGGGAGAGGGCTACCCAGCCTGGCACAGATGCCCACCACAGGGCTCCTGAGTCCCCTAGAGAGCTCATGGTGCTGAGCTGTCCCCCTGGAGACCCCCAGCCCAGTCCCAGCTGGTGCCAGTGGGGCTTGGGGCACAAAGCCACAGAAACCACCACCTCCTTTGGGAGCCCCTGGGCAGGAGGCTGTGGCTCTGGCAGCACTTGGGAGGGGTGTCAGTGGGTCCCGACTGGAACGATGGAGCCGCAGAATTTCTGTACAATCATGCACGCCTGCCTCTATGCTGCTGCAGTGGGGCCTTCAGATCTAGGACCTCTGAGCCTGTGTCTACAGAGGGTGGGGCAAGGGGGCTGCTTCTTTAAGGGTAGGCCCCGCTGGAGAGTGTGATGAGTGGACAGCTCATTCAGTGCCACACACCAGAGCCAAGCCTCTGCGTCCAGGTGGCTCCCGGAGCACTCGCTGCATGCCTGCTCCACATGCCCACCCTGGGTGCCTGCCCTGTGCACCCGCTCTGTGTACCCTCCTACACTGGGTGCATGGAGCCACTTCCTGCTGGAGTGAGGCCCAGAGAGGTGGTGCTGTGGGAAGGGACCAGTGCCTGAGAAGGGCCTGGCCGCCTCGATGCCTGCAGGAGGCTTCTGGAGGGCCTGTAGAGGGATGGCCACAGCCTCGCTCAAATCCCTCACTCCCTGAGTCTGTCTGGAGGTCTGACCATACCTTTTGGTCTCAAATGATTTTGAACCGGCTTGTTGTGTCCCTGGGTGATGCAAATGGTTAACACACGGCTACTAACTAAAAGGTTGGAGGTTCAGGTCCACGCAGAGGTACCTTGGAAGAAAGGCCTGGTGATCTACTTCCAAAATATCAGCCATTGAAAACCCTATGGAGCACAGTTCTACACTGACACACATGGGATTGCCGTGAGTCAGAGTGGACTCGACAGCAACTGGTACTGGTATTGTTAAACTTCTGGGAGCTATGTGTGAATTCCTAACTATTGCAGCATGTTAGGTGTCGCCCTCCCTGCTGAGGTTGCCCTGCGAGGGCCAGGCACTGCCTCACTCCTGTGTTCCCTTGCGGGAAGTGGCTCTGCTGTAAGTTTCTAACTCAGTGTCCTGCTTGTCTGACAGCAACAGAACTTCAAGCAGAAAGTTGTGGCCCTGCTGCGGAGGTTTAAAGTGTCGGATGAGGTGAGGTCATGGGGCTGCCCACCCTGCCTGTCTCCCCCATGCTTGTGGGGTGGATGCTGCACTAGCTGACAGCAAGGGGGTCTCTGAGTCGGGGTTCTGGCTTCAAGTTCTGGTCTGTCATTTACTGTCAGTGCAAACCTCTTGGGGCACCACTTTCCTTATCTGTAGGACAGGGTGACAGGGGCTCCCACCACCAGCAATACTGCAAAGAGTTCCGGGGGCATGTCACATCTCAGTCCCATTACAGCTCAGTGAACCAGACCCAGAGGAGTGGTATCTTTGTGAGATTTTTTTCTTTTAACTTTTCTCTAGTCTCTAAGTTTTCTACAATGAGTCTGTATGACTTTTAAAATCAGAAAAATATCTTATTTTTCTTCAAATGTGGTCAGAGAAAAATTTAGGCACTGGTTTGTGGACCCACAGAGGAGAAGTAGCTTTTAGCACTTAAGTCCCAAAGCAGTGTCATCACCATAATCATGATAGTACCAATAGCCAGCCTCTTGGAAATGGTAGCTACGTGTCCACACCCATAAGCCCTGTGCTTACGGGAAAGGCAGACCAGAGTTCAGCTGGTCCATCAGACTCCAGCACACTGACACTGTGTGTCAGCAGCTGCCCTTCTTGGACACAAGTGTTGAAAATAGCTGTGTGTGTTTCAGCCACATCCGGGAAACAGTGTTTCCAGGAACAATGAATTGCTAACCTGGTCCTAGAGGAAGGATTGTCTCAGAGCCGTAGGGATGGGCAGCCAGAGATCAAAATTATAAAAAAGGAGACCAAACAGGAATTCTGGAGCTGAAAAGTACAATAGTTGAAATGAAAAAATTCACTGGACGGGTTCAACAGCAGATTGCAGCAGGTAGAAGAAAGAATCAGTGAACTTGAAGATGAGGTAATTAAATTATCCACTCTGGGAACAGAAAGAAAAAAGAATGAAGAAAAGTGAACAGAGCCTGAGGGACCTGTGGTACACCATCAAACATACCAGCACACACGTTATGGGAGTCCCAGAAGGAAAGGAAGTAAGAGCAGAACAAATACTTAAAGAAATGGCTAAAAACTTCCCAAATCTCATGGAAGACATGAATCCACACAAATTGAATAACCTAGATGAAATGGACAAATTCCAGGAAGCTCAATGAACTTCAAGCAGGGTAGACTCAGATCCACACTGAGACACTTACAGTGAAATTGTCAAAACCCAAAGACAAAGAGAAAATCTTGAAAGCAGTAAGAGAGAAATGACTCATCACATACAAAGGATCCTCAATGAGATTAATGGCTGATTTCTCATCAGAAACCATGGAGGCCAGAAAGCACTGGGATGATATATTTAAAGTCCCAGAGAAAAAGAAAAGAAAAACTGTCAACCAAGAATTCTATATCTGGCAAAACTATCTGTCTTAGTCATCTAGTGCTGCTCTAACAGAAATACCACAAGTGGATGTCTTTAACAAAGAGAAATTTATTCTCTCGCAGTCTACTAGGCGACAAGTCCAAATTCACGGTGTCAGCTCTAGGGGAAGGCTTTCTCTATCGGCTCTGGAGGAAGATCCATGTTGTCAATCTTCCCTTGGTCTAGGAGCTTCTCTGCACAGGAACCTCAGGTCCAATGGACATGCTCTGCTCCCGGCACTGCTTTCTTGTTTCCCTTTCATCTCTTGTAAGATAGAAGGTGGTGCAGGCCACAAGCCTAGTGAAACTCCGTTTACATTGGATCAGGGAGGTCACCTGAGTAAGGGTGTTACACAATCCCACCCTAATCCTCTTTAACATAAAATTACAGTCACAAAATGGAGGACAACCACACAATACTGGCAATCATGGCCCAGCCAAATTGATACACACATTTTGTGGGGGACTTAATTCAATCCATGACACTATCCTTCAAGAGTGAAAAAGAAATTAAGACATAAACAAAAGCTGAGATGGTTCATTACCAGTAGACTTGCCCTAGAAGAAATGATAAAGGAAATCCTTCAGGCTGAAATGAAATGACGCTAGACAGTAACCTGAACCCATAAGAAGAATGGGCTGAAGCAGGGAAAAGATAACTACATAGGGAGATATCAAAGCTAGTGCTATTTTTGGTTTGTAGCTCTTTTTTTTTCTTTTCTGTATGATTTAAAATGTAATTGTTTAAAACAATCATTATAAATCTGTGTTAATGAGCACATCCTGTATAAAGACATTGTCTCCGACAATAACACTGTAGAGGGTGAGGGGTGGAGATGCTTAAGAACAGAGTGTATACTATTAAATCTAAGCTGATACTATTTTAATTAGATTCTTATAAGTCTAAGATGTTAATTGTAACCCCCAAGGTACCACTAAGGAAACCACTAAAAAATACATGCAGAAAAAGAAGGGAATAAAAATGGTACACTACAAAATATCAACTAAATTATAAAAAAGGCATTAATGGAGGAATCGAGGAACAAAAAACGTATAAGACATACTGAAAACGACTAAATGGCAGAACTAATTCTTTCTTATCACTTATACTTTCAGTGTAAATGGATTAGACTCGTTAAATAAAAGGCAGAGATTTCAGAATGAATTAAAAAAAAATCACGATCCATCTATATCTATCTACAAGAGACTCACTTTAGAGACAAGGACACAAAGAGATTGAAAGCAAAAGGATGGAAAATGATACTCCACACAAATAGAGATATTCCAAACCAAAAGAGAGCTGGAGTGACTATGTTATTGTTAGACAAAATAGACTTTAAGTCAAAAAACGATTTTAAGAGACAACGAAGGATGTTGTATATTGGTAAAATGTTTAATCCCTTGTGATGATATAACAATTATAAACATATTTGCACCTAACAATAGAAACCCCAAAATATATGAAGTATGCATTGACAGAATTGAAGGGAGAAATAGACAGTTTTACAATAATAATTGGAGACTTCAGTACTCCACTTTGAATAACGAATAGAACAACCAGGCAGAAGATCAATAAGGAAACAGAGGACTTGAACAAACCTATAGACAAATCATATACATATATAGGATACTCCACCCAACAACAGCAGAGTACACATTCTTATTAAGTGCATATGGATGATGCTCTAGAATAGACCATATGTTAGGCCACAAAACAAGTTTTACTGAATTTTAAAAGATTGAAATCATACATTATGTTCACAATGGAATGAAACTAGAAATCAATAACAGAAGAAAAACTGAAAAATTCACAAATACATAGAAATTAAACAACACACTCCTGAACAACCAATGGGTCAAAGAAAGAATCAAAAGGGAAATTAGGAAATACTTGAGAGAGATGAAAACGAAAGCAGAGCATACCAAAACTTCCAGGATGCAGCAAAGGCAGCACTCAGAGGGAAATGTGTAGCTGTAAATGCTAACATTAAAGAAGACGAAAAATCTCAAATCAGTAACCTAACTGTACCTCTTAAGGAACTAGAAAAAGAAAAGCAGACTAAATCCAAAGCTAGTAGAGCCAGAGATAAATGAAATAGAGAACAGAAAAACAATGGAGAAAATCACAAACCAAAAGTTGTTTCTTTGAAAAGATCAATAAAATTGAGAAACCTTTAGTTAAACTGACCAAGGAAAAAAAAAAAAAGAAGACTGAAATTACTAAAATCAGAAGTGAAAGTGGGGACATTACTATCCCCCTTAGGGAAATAAAGGATTGTAGGAAATACTGTGGATAATTGTAAATAACAAAGTGAACAACCTAGGTGAAATGGACAAATTCCTAGAAACACATAAACAACCAAAACTGACCTAAGAAGAAATGGAAACTCTCAACAGATCTATAACAAATAAGGAGATGGAATTAGTAATCAAAAACTTCCCAACAGAGAGAGAAGCCAAGGACCAGATGGCTTCACTAATGAATTGTACCAAACATTTAAAGAAAAATTAACATTAATACTTCCCAAACTCTTCCAAAAAATTAAGAGGAAATACTTCCTAAGTCATTCTTTGAGGCCAGCATTATCCTGATACTGAAGTCAGACAGAGATACCATGAGAAAAAGAAACTACAGATCAATATCCATCATCAGCGTAGATGCAAAAACCTCAACAAATACTAGGAGCTGAGTTAAGCAGCAACAAATACTAGAAGCTGAGTTAAGCAGCATGTTAAAGGATTATATACCATAACCAAATGGAATTATCCTTTTGGTTATGCAAGGGAGTGCAACGGTAGTTCAGTAAATGCAAATCCATCAATGCAGTATGCCACATTAACAGAACAAAGGGAAAAAAAACATCTGGTCTTCTCAACTGATGAAGAAAAAGCCTTTGACAAAAATCCAATAACTTTTTATGAAAAAAAAAACAAACTTGTAGCAGCACAACTGAATTCATTTCATCTGTCAAAACTCACCTACCTGCACATATAAAAACGGTGTCTCTCCTTGTGTGTAAAATCCTCCTCCATCAACCCACACTAAAAGGAGCAGCTTGGTGAGGTGGACGGAATGACCACACTCGTACCCGGTGCAATCCTCGGGAAATGTTCCCAGGTTTAATAACTGAATAATTGTGCAGTTGGAACATGCTGGCAGCACAGGGTTTTCTTTTCATGGTTCTGGGCACCATCTTTTCGTCCTGGCCCTGCAAACACTTCTCCCTTACCCCCTGCTGTGTCCATGGTGACAGACCAGTGGCCGGCACTGAGATGATGGGGCAGGGGTCTGGGGGGTCCCAGTGGAGGCCCTCACATCATCTGGCCTGTCCCAGGTGCTGGACTCAGAGCAGGACCCTGCTGAACACGTCCCCGAGGTGGAGGAGGACCTGGACCTCCTATATGACACGCTGGACATGGAGAACCCCAGTGACAGTGGCCCTGACATGGAGGATGACGACAGTGTCCTCAGCACCCCAAAGCCGAAGCTCAGGTGAGCAGCGCCCAGCCCCAGGGCCTGGGCAGGGATCCTGAGGCCCCATGAAGCCCTCCAAGGCCCAGCGGGGTTTGCTGCTGTGGGGCTGGCTCTGGACCAGCTCTGGGCCCAGTGGCTGAGGGCTGCCTGCCTTCAAGCCTTAGAAGGTCCCCGTGGGCCAGACCAGCCGTCCGCAGTGGGTGGCCGGCCGGAATTGGGTTATGAAGGCCTCCAGGGTGACCCAGGTTTGGGATGTCTAGAAGCAGTGGGGCCGACAAGGGTTGAGCGGCAGCAAAGCGACCGAGTTTGCCTTCTGACGAGCCCGTGAGTTGGGAGGTGGCGGCACTGTGGTGGAGTCTTGAGGAGTGAAAGTGTAGGGCTTGGGGCTGGTGGGATGTGGGGCTGGGAGGGGAGCGGTCGGGGGTCCTGCTGCATGCTGCTGGGCACAGAGACCAGCAAGTGAGTGGGGGTCTTCTGTCCAGCTGAGGGGACTCACAGAAGCCACATGATGGGAACATGGAGCGCAGGCCAGAGGGGGCAACGTAGCTGAAGGGGTGGGGGCTGCAGGTGAGTGGGCAGGAAGGTGTAGGGTGGCATGGCTGGTGGGGGGGACCCTGAGGCAGGGAGCAGGAGTGGGGACGTGGCCGCTCGTGGGCCTGGCAGTGGTTGTAGTTACGGGGAGGCTGGCTGGTGTGCGGTGGGGCCGGTCATCACTGGGCTCGAGGACCGTGGGCTCTAGCGCAGGGAATTGCGTGGCGGCCCTGACGCTGCTGTCGAGACGGGGGGTCCAAGACGGAGCAGGAAGCTGTGGGGACCCGTGTGGCCCTGCAGCCCGCTCAACTGCCCCACAGCCCCTGCCTTACGCAGGGACTCTCCGCCGCTCTCTCACCGTCCTGGCAGTGGAGTCCTGGGTTCAGCGGGGCTCTGTGCAGGGCCTTAAAGTGCTCAGACCAGGTGGCACCAGCCAGGCTCTTACCTGGCAGGCTTGTTCTGTGCTGTTGTGGCGCTGAGGTCCCGTCTTCTCTGCCTGCTGGCTGAGGTCGTTGTGGCTTCCCTGGCTTGTGACCCATTCCATCACAGCCAGCAGTGGTGGTCGGGTCCTCCTGACACCAGGTCTCGGCCTCACTCCTGCCCTCCTTCCTGCCTGCAGCCAGAGGAGGGGCTTTCCTTTTGAGGGCTCAGAGATGACCCTGGCCCCTGGGGAGCCCAGGATCAGCTCCCACCCCAGGCCCTGAACCATGACCTGCGTCCGTCTGCCACACCATGGGCAGGCTCGGGCTGGGCGAGGGCAGCACCTGGGCTGGGATTCCACCCAGCACACCCGGCAACCCCACCTGCACCCTCCCACGTGGCATGTCACCACGGCTGAGACCAGACACTGAGCAAGTCTCTCCATCCTTTGCGCTCAGAATGTCTTGTCTCTGAAGCAGGGACCTCCGTCGGCATCTTCCTGTTACCTGTTGAGCTGGGCGTGCCTGGGTCTGGCCGAGTTGTCCGTCGGGCTGCTCCCCGGCCTCCTCATGGGGGCTGAGCGCTGCCACCAGCACGGGCTGCCTGCCTCTGCATGGGGACAGGAACAGAACCTCAAGGGTCTGCTGAGGACACGTGGTCTGCCGAGGGTGGAGGGTTCTCCCTGGCCCCGCTCTTCTCTGCTCTGCTTCGGGGAGGGGCTGCAGGTGGATGGGGTCCTGGACAGTCACCCTCCTCCCCTCCCCCTCAGGCCATACTTTGAGGGCCTGTCACACTCCAGCTCACAGACCGAGATCGGCAGCATCCACAGCACTCGGAGCCAGAGGGGGCCGCCCAGCCCCGTGAGTGGGGGACCACCCAGCCCCGTGAGTGGGCGGGTGGGGGGCCACCCAGCCCCATGAGTGGGGGGGTGGGGGGCCACCCAGCCCAGTGAGTAGGGGCGTGGGGGGCCCCCCAGCCCCATGAGTGGGGGAGTGGGGGGCCACCCAGCCCTGTGAGTCGGGGGGTGGTGGCTGCCCAGCCCTGTGAGTGGGGGCAGGGCCGGGGGCAGGCTGGGTCCCCGTGGGTCCTTGGTCCCCTCTTTCCATCACCATTAGTGTGGGTCATGTGGCTACTGCTCACACACTGGGTCTGTGTGAACACAGTGACGTGCCTCAGCCCCGTGTGACCCTTGGGGTGGCCCAGGCCTCCTGGGCCCACCTGCCCCACAGCCCAGACACTTCTGCGTGCCCATCAGTGTTCTCCCCCAGCACCCCCAGCCCTCCAAGTGAGACCCGCCTGGTGCTGCCGTTGGACTCACTCTGACCCTGGCTCCTCTGCAGGCCGAGGTGCCCGAGAAGACGAGGCCCCTGGGCGGCCGGCAGTTGAGCGAGAGCATCTCCGACACGGCAGCGCACGTAAGCAGACTGCCGGCCGCGTGTTTGCTGCCTCTAGCAGTCTGGCCTGGGGGCAGGGCACAGCACAGAGGGCCCCAGGCTCCCCCTTCCCCTGAGCTCCTGGTGTGCACAGACCACGGGCAGGTGTCCTGGGGTGGGCAGTCACTCTCCTGTGGGACAGTCAGACACCCCAGATGCTCAGTCTCCTGGGCAGATGGTCAGGCACCCTGGGTCTCGTCCCCTTGGCATGGGGGTGTCTCCATGGCTGCACCTCTGGCCATCTCCCCCAGAGCGCACTGGTGTGGGAACAGCCCAGGCCACCCGAGGAAAGCCCAGAAGTGGAGGTCTCCACACTGGACGTGTTCACCGAGAGGCTGCCGCCAAGCGGGAAGATAACCAAGACGGAGTCACTCATCATCCCCTCCACCAGGTGAGCGCAAGGTGCTGCCTGGGCCACGGGAGGAAGATGGCCGTGGAGCACGGGCCCACCCAGTCAGGCTGCGAGCTGGTGGTGGGTGTGGCGGCCCCTCAGCCCCTCGGACGTGATTGAATCACAGGTTCCCTGCCCATCTGGGATTGGACGCCTGCTCACAGTGAGACTAGCGGAGAGGTCCTGGGGGGAAGGATGTAAGAAACGCACTCTGAGAGCGGGGAAGCCCACCTTTCCCGTCACATGATTCCTGGACCCATCCCACCCCGAGGCTGACACACAGCACAAGGTGCTGTCTGCTCCAGCGCTGGTACCTGTAGAACCAGTGCCGGAGCACGAACTGGGCTGGGTCTGAGTCCTCAGACTAGGCTTTGCAGGTGGGGAGAGACGTGGTGGGAGCAGCCACAGTTGTGAGGTGCTGGTGTGAGCCCAGATGGGGCACGACCCCAGGTTGAGCAGTGGGACATACGGGGAGGCAGGGAGAGGGCATCTCTGCCGACAGCCCCTCGGGGTCTCTGGCCTTCACCACGGCTGCTGCCAACCCTGCCCCTGCCCCGACCAGTACGTCCTGTTCCCCAGCAGGTCCGAGGGGAAGCAGGCCGGCCGCCGGGGCCGAAGCACGTCCCTGAAAGAGCGGCAGACGGCGCGGCCACAGAATGAGCGGGCCAATAGCCTGGACAACGAGCGATGCCCAGACACCCGGAGCCAGCTGCAGGTGGGGGCCTGAGCAGTCAGGGCGGGGGCTGCAGGTGGGGGCCCGAGCAGTCAGTGCGGGGCCGAGCAGTTAGGGTGGGAGCCCGAGCAGTCAGGGTGGGGGCTGTGGGTGGGCCCGAGCAGTCAGGGTGGGGCCCGAGCAGTCAGGGCGGGGGCTGCAGGTGGGGGCCCGAGCAGTCAGGGCGGGGGCTGCAGGTGGGGGCCCGAGCAGTCAGGGTGGGGCCCGAGCAGTCAGGGTGGGAGCCCGAGCAGTCAGGGTGGGAGCCCGAGCAGTCAGGGTGGGAGCCCGAGCAGTCAAGGCGGGGGCTGCACGTGGGGGCCCGAGCAGTCACGGCGGGGGCTGCGAGTAGTTGAGATTGGGGCCAGGGAAGCACCGGGCCTCTCCCGGGTGTGACGGGCGCGTGTGGACCCAGATCCCCAGGAAGACTGTGTACGACCAGCTCAACCACATCCTGATTTCCGACGACCGGCTCCCAGACAACATCATTCTCGTCAACACCTCTGACTGGCAGGGCCAGGTGGGCTGGTGTCTCACGTTCTCCTTGCAAATCAGGTGGGACTGGATGGGGAGGGAGAGGCTCTGCCAGCAGGTGCTCTGAAGCTCTCCCAGCGCCAAGAGGCCTGGGGGCTCCTTCCCTGTCTGGGTGCCCCGTCCCCATCTGGGTGCCCTGTCCCTGGGTGCCTGGTGGGAGCAGTGCTGTCTGGAGCCCTGGGACACCTAGCTGCGGCTGACCGGTGGTCCCCACCTGCAGTTCCTCTCGGATGTGCTGCAGCGACACACCCTGCCTGTGGTCTGTACCTGCTCCCCGGCTGACGTCCAGGCCGCCTTCAGCACCATTGTCTCGCGCATACAGAGATAGTGAGTCCTGCAACAGCCCCCCAGCTTTGGGCAGGGCCCCTCAGACCCCATGTGCTCTGCCCCAGAGCTCCCCAGCCCCAGGCGGGGGCTCCCTGAAGCCAGAGGGGCATCCCTGGTGGAGAAGCAGTCCTGGGAGGCCAGATTCTCCGGGGCCTTCAGCCCTGTCTCAGGCGGCCCCCTCAGCCCCGGGACGCGGCTTTGCATCGGGTCAAGGTCCTGGGCTCTGACGGCTCCATGGGTGGTCACTGTGTTGGGGCCGCAGCTGTGGGGGCTGGGTCTCCCCTGTGCTTCTGGTAAGCGGGAGAGGCCATGACCTTCAGTGAACTTAGGTGACGGGGGCCACGCCACTCGTCAACCTCCTCTGAGAGTGGGTGTGCCGTGTGGGTGGCAGGCTGCAGGCTGGGCCCCCAGGACAAGCTCAGCACGCTGTCACACGGGGCTGTGGGGAGGAGCCCAGGCCGGCGGTCCTAAGGCCCCTGTCCTCTCTCTCCTCACTGCTTGCGCGGGACCGCAGCTGCAATTGCAATTCCCAGCCCCCGACCCCCGTGAAGATTGCTGTGGCGGGCGCGCAGCATTACCTCAGCGCCATCCTGCGGCTCTTCGTGGAGCAGCTGTCCCACAAGACCCCCGACTGGCTCGGCTACATGCGTTTCCTCATCATCCCTCTGGGTGAGCGCGATGGCGGGGCTGAGGGGCAGTGCCCGGTGACGTGTGACACCACTGGCTGAAAACACAGGCATTTCAGAGGCCCCGGGGACACCCCCCACGTGGTCACGCTGGCTGAGTTTTCATGCCGATGTCATGCAGACTTTCTGTGACATTTTGTATAATTATCACTTGTATCGGAGCCCTGGTTGTGCAGTGGTTAGGAGCTTGGCTGCTAACCAAAAGGTCAGCAGTTTGAATCCACCAGCCACTCCTTGGAAACCCTGTGGGGCAGTTTTACTGTGTCCTATAGGATCGCTATGAGTCGGAATCGACTCAGTGGCAACTGCTAACAGGTATCACTTGTATCATTTTTATTAAGTAAAAAACGTGTTTGTGCTGGAGAGGCCACTCAGGTAGGATGACAGTTGCCAGTTTGATGCGCCTTTGCGCTGGGCGGCCCACGATGCCCCTTTTCAGAAACACAGAGCAAGGATTGGCTGTTAACCCTGTTAAGTCATCCGAGTTCTGTGTAGTTTATAAAATTGCATTTATGACAAACACATCATGTTTTAAACTACTGAGAAGTGGTCAGTCCTGAACAGCAGTGGTTGTGGGACCCTAGTGCCCCCCACTCCACACGTGTGCAGGATGTCTGCCCACAGCGCCTCCATCCAGGCCTTCCAAGCAGCTCAGAAGCCTGGAGCTCCTCTTTGAGGCCCATGCCGTCCATCTGAGGCGGAGTGGAGGCCTGCCTGCCGGTCTGGGAAAGGCCCCACAAAGTGACGGCTCTCGCTGTCCCCTGCCCACAGGCTCCCACCCCGTGGCCCGGTACCTGGGCTCCGTGGATTACCGCTACAACAACTTCTTCCAGGATCTGGCCTGGAGAGACCTGTTCAACAAGCTGGAGGCCCAGGGCGCAGGTGAGGCGGGTGGGCACAGGCAGGGTAGGGCCTTTCAACACACCCACCAGCCTCAGGCCTCTGCCACAGACCTCCCCCCAGGCCGCCGTGTCCCTCCTGTGCTCCCACCTCCCACCCGGCCCCCAGGACGCCCACCCCTTCAGCATGCCCCCCGAGGTCCACCCGGCCCCTCGAGCGCCCCCCACCTCCCACCCGGCCCCTAGGCCCACCCGACCCCTCGAGCGCCCCCCACCTCCCACCCGGCCCCAAGGCTGACCCAGCCCCCCGTGTGCCCTCTTGCAGTGCAGGAAACCCCTGACATCGTGTCCCGAATCACGCAGTACATCACGGGGGCCAACTGCGCCCACCAGCTGCCCATTGCAGAGGCCATGCTGACCTACAAGCAGAAGAGGTGAGGTGGGGGTGGGAGACGGGGCGTGGGGATCTTGGGCTCTGGATGGACCTGCACTGTGGCAGGCCTCCTCTGGGACGTGTCCATGTCCTCAGCCAGCGCCCCAGCCCAGATAGAACTGCTTACCCGCTTGCTGCAGTCTCAGCCTTCAGGCTGCGCAGCCCTGTCAGCCGGGTGCAAGTGATGGTCCTTGGGCAACCCCAGGGGCCAGTGTGGTGAGGGCCTCGCCTGACCAGTCAGCGTGAGCCAGTGTGGTTTCAGACTAGCTCCATTCTGTGCATGCTTGACGTTTCCGTGATGGACGTTAGAAGCTGTCCAGTTACTCAGCCGTAGTGGTAGCCTGGCTTACCGGAATGTAGGCCAGGGGTTGGGAGCCCTCACACCCTCAGGGGCCAAGGGTGAGGGATCCTGACACCCTTGAGGGCCAGGCGTAGGGGATTCTCAGGGGGTGAGGAGGTCCCTGCACTCTCGGGCCAGGCCTAGCCACTCTGGCCTCTGCTCTCCAGCACCCTGCCGGAATAACGTTCCCTTCTCAACTGGCCCTCAAACAGGCTAGTCTTTTGGGTTGCCCCCCTCCCTAGGGTACATCAGGACACAGGTCAGGGGACTGCAGCCTCCCTTGGGATGTCCCACAAGGGGCGCAGGCTTGCCAGTCCAGAGGACCCGCTGAGAGGGCAGAAAGGTTCAGACTGTGCGGCCAGGTAGAGGTAAAGCTACGCTAGCCCTCCTTCCTAAGTTAAAGACAGACTGAGGGACAGCAACTTTGGCTGGTAGTCAAGGTCACGGGAGGAAGTCCACCCACTGCAGCAAGAGGGGTGTGAGTCTCCTGGCTCCTTGGCGTGACAGAGGCCCCCCAGCCCTTCCCACAGTTCTGTCCCCACCCTCACAGCTGTCAGCAGGAGGTCTGCGGGGGTGGGGAAGGGCCTTAGTGTTGTGGTCCTGGGCCCCCGCCCCTTCCCTTTGGGCGCAGCTGAACAGTTCCTCAGCGCGTCAGGACTGGTGGGGCCCCCAAGGGCAGGCCAGCACCCCCATGGAGCCTGGACGTTGCTGAGCTCCCACAGATGCCGAGGGCACGTCGCTGCCCCGAGGGCCTGCTAACATGTCTGTGTCTTCTCTCTCGGTGCTTTCTGAAAAGGAAAAGGAACTTTCACTTTGATTTTACCCTGAGGTACCAGTGTCTCTGGTCTCCCCCCATCTGTTCCTCTGCCCCCGTCTGTCCTGGGCTGGTCTTTGGGGCTTGTTTAGCAACGTGAGCAGGTGGGGATGCAGGTGGGCACCAGCAGCCCACACCAGCTTGCCTTCATGCCTGGCCTCCTGGCTGCAAGTCGGCTACGGGCTGCCCACCACTGTCCAGGGAACCCATCCCTGAGCCAGCATCCAAGCACCCCAGTGTGGGTATGTACAGAGTCACACAGCCTTGGAGATCGGGGGAGCAGGCTGCTCCTTTGTCTGCATCCAGTACTTTGACTTAAAAAGTGGACAAAACCTGAGCCGCTTCAGCAAGCTCATCACGCTCCTGGAGCCGTGAGCAGCACCGCTTACATCATGGGGCAGCTGCCAGCAGCCTGCTCCTAGCCCTTCCATTTGTGAGCTCCTTTAGTCCTGCTGCCAACCACGAGGGGCGGCCTCTGCAGGGACACCGCGCACAGCGGGGTCGGGTAACTGGGGGATGTGGCTGTCAGCGGCGGCGCCCTGGAGCCAGAGAGCAGATGGTTTCGCAGCAGATTCTTGGCTTGCCAGGAGAGGCGCCTACTGCTCTTTGTCCCTTGGCCCGTGACAGCACAGGGCCCACCCTGGGAAGGAAGCTGGTTTCTAGAACCTTCCTGTCTCACCACTTAGTGTGCTCCTCATGGGAGGAGGATCTGAGCACCCCACCTCTGCTCTGCTAAACAAGCCATGTGGCAAGAGAAAGACCAGCCCGGTGCCCCAGCCACATGGTCCCACACTGGCCTTGGATGCCCCTCCCGGTTGCTGGGTGCCGGCCTGGCATGAGGTTGGCTGCAGCATGCCCACACAGCCCAGCCCATGTGGACACGGCCGCCGTCTCCCTGCTATTGGCTCGGTCAGAGCGGCAAGGGCAGGGGGTGGTCCCCGCCTCCGCGTGACAGCGGTGACACCACCCAGGGGGGCCTGGCGTCTTGCACTAACCGGCAGGCAGGTGTGGTAAAGGCCCAGATCGGTTCAGAGTCAGACCAGGGACCCACCAGGCGTCGCACAGCCGCAGTTGGATCCTGACCAGCCACCAGCCCCCTAGAACCCTGTGCACGGCAGCCCCTGCATCCTAGGTCTCAGCAACGGGTCTCTTGGGGTCACGGTGTCACTGCCGTCAGGCCAGGCGTGTGCTGAGCGTGGGTGTTGTTTGCATGGCCCATGGCAGCTTGGCTGTGAGTCGGCAACGTGCTGAGCTGTGGCCGTGTCTGCATCTCAGCCTAATGGCGCGGTGCGTGCGGGCCAGCATGTGGGCATTCTCGTCACATGGCATGGGGGCGGGGCTCAGCAAAGTAGGGGGCCGGGCACTGCTCTGCCTTCACGGCCTGTGAGCTTGGAGGACTCAGATGTCTGAGATCTCTGCCAGAAGAGGCAGAGCAGGGCCACTATGTAACTGGTGTCCCAGGCGGTGCTCACCTGACAGGTGTGAGCACAGGTGAAAGGTCCCCATGTAGACGGTGCCCCAGGTGGCGCTCACCTGACAGGTGTGAGCACAGGTGAAGTGT